AAAACGTTAGATATCGCTGAGATTGAACAGCAAAAGGAAGAGAATTGTTTACTTTTTTGCATGCGCTCATGTAGTGAAAGAGATAATCAGTTACCTCGAAAAAGAGTTCGTGTTTTGTGTGCGATCTGACGAAGAAAAATTACCAAAAAGTAGTTAACAAAAATCTACTTTAAGGACCAGAATCTATGCTAATGTTCTTCCTTCCCCTGAATGGCGTGACCAATCAGAAAGATCTCTCGGTGAACAAAAGCCGTTGTTTTTCGCTTATGTGGGATTAGATTTTCTGAGCTTGGTGAACGAACACGTGTTTTTTCCTGGTGATAAGTGAAAGTTGGATGTGTGACCCCATTTTGTCGTTTCTACGTTACCTGTCACGACGGACTACCGTTTGAACTGTGATTTGGCTACAAGTGTTGCGGTCGAGAGACAGAAGAAATCTATTGCAGACGTTTATTGCTACTATAAGTTGAGTTTTTTTTCTTCTTCTTCTTCTTTTCTTTACAACTACAGGTCAAGCATGGAAATAATGCTTTAAAAGCTGCTGCTAACATTGACATAGCAGGAGTGAAGGATCCACATGTAGTCTGACAGTACGTCGATGGTTTCCGAAGTTCCACAGTGAGGATATGAATCTTGAAAGATCAAGGTGGTAGGGGATGTTCATATGCAATTGATAATCAACATCTGAAAACACGAATCGAACAATACACGCGTCAATAGAGCAGCAATTCTTCAATTGTGGGTCGGGACCGGAAATGAAGTCGCTAAGCAATATGCTGAGAGTCGCGAAAATTGAATTCGAACGCTTGAATTACAGGTTCTGTATTAATGAACAAACGCCCGATATTTCACATGACGCGCCACGCAAGCACTGTGGTAATAAAAACGCGCATGCGGCGCCATTGCAATGACAACGGGTGTAATTTCAGGGTAGTTGGTTAATACCCGGTGGTCGCAAAAAATCTCGTCATGAAAAATGGGGTCATGACTGAAAAAGAATTTCAGAAGCGCTCTCTTAGAGGAATGTTTTAGACAACGGACATCAGCGTTTCAACAACATCGAGCAATCTCCAGAAAATTGCTTCTCTTATTTGCGCTATTAGTACTCTAACACTGAGGCCCTGTGTCAGACTAAGCCTGCTATTTGAGTTTGCGATAGGGCGCCGATCAGCAAAGTTGTTCCAATGGAAAACATTTAGTTTGCATCTGTGTATGCTTCTAAGAATGTTTTTCGGATGAACTCCTGCCAAGAACTCCATTCAAATCGGATAAACATGAAAGGCATTTGGGAAAAGTGTGGAAACAATTTAAACCTGAACCCAATAACGGTTGGTCAGTCAGTTATGTGCCATGCGTGATACACGCTTATGCGATCATGTATCTTTCGATACACGACTGACAAGCAGATTTTTTCCCGCAATAGGTTGCCATTTCTTTCTGCGGTAGACTAGTTGCCATCCAAGACTACAGAATCCGTTCTGTCCTGCTATTTACCCATAGCTTTGTCGGGGGTGGGGAGAATGAGCATTCATACCTTTCCCAAGGTTATTAGAACGTAAGTGAATGTCATGGATTCCACTGGAATTCGAACTCGGCTTTCCGATTCCTCACTCCTAGTCGCTAACCATTACTCTGCCGTGACTCAAGTGATATTTTAAACTGGATGATTAATCTTTAAGAAAGATGGGTTAATCCTTTATGTTTTGCCTTCTTCATAGATTATAAATCAGGCTAATAAGCCACTCTAAAAATGCGGCAATAACAGAGTTTCTTCCCGTTTTCCATTTTATGGAATATGCTGTTTAACCCATAGATGAAGGGTGAAAAGATAGATTCATGCTTTTACCAATAGTATTCGTGCCAGTGTGAACATAGCTGACTATGTAAGCAAATATATGGATATAGATCCGACAGTGTGAAGAAAAATATATGGAAAAACAAAAATCCGAATATGCAAATATGCTGTTTTAATGTTATTTCAATGTCGACGTCAGACGTTTCGGTCTAGCAGACCTTCTTCAGGACATAGTTATTAAAATATAATTAACATTAGACGATATTCAAGTCAACATGAAAAGACGATAGACATAAGAGTAAGACTAATCAAAACAGAATAATTGAAATTTTTAAGATCAGCGTTCCGTTTCACAATATGATCACGTCGGCGTCACGTGGGCGATGTTGTGAAAACGTATTCCTAAAATAGAGTATATTTTAAATGAAAAATGAAACGCTGATCTTAAAAAAAATCAGTTATTCTGTTTTGATTAGTCTTATGTCTATCGTCTTTTCATTTTGACTTGAATATCGTCTAATGTTAATTACGTTTTAATAACTATGTCCTGAAGAAGGTCTACTAGACCGAAACGTCTGACGTCGACATTGAAATAACATTAAAACAGCATATTTGCATATTCGGATTTTTGTTTTTCCATATATTTTTCTTCATAGCTGACTATGCGGAGTTTGAACTCGTATCGAGGATTCCAATTTATACTCCGGTAACCTTAGAGTACCCGCTTATTAGACCCTTGAAAAATGGTATTTGTGAAACTAGTTCGAATACTGTTCAGTTGGAAAATCGGGGTAAGAAGAAAACCTGTCTTCAGCTATATCTTCTCCAGTGCCGTCGAAAAGCTTTGGGCGGGGGAAATCATTCAAAGAAACGCTGTACTGGTAACATAGAGTCAGCTCTGGTTATCGTCGTTAGTGGAACTTTTGATTGCTCCAGGCTGTACCTCGGGCTAGACCGGTGTTACCAAGCAAGTCAAAGAGGTGACTGACCGCAGATTGATTAGTGGACAGATGCCGGGCTATATGCAAATTTGCACTCGACACGAAAGACATTTTAGCTTAAGTGCCGCGATGTTAACATTCAATAACTCACAGCCGCGTAAGGTAACATGGAATTGAAGGTAATCGCGAGGGCAGACAAGTTTAAACACGAAGCTGTCAGCCTGACTCATACTTTGCCTCTTTCGTAAGACACTGCCATTTCTGATTGGTCGGTGCCGCTTACAATGTAATATGCGAGAAGCAATAAGCTAAGAGGTCCTCGAAGAAATGAGAGCGAGAAAGAATAAAAGAGAAAACATAGTGGTCGAAAATCAAAGACTTCCAGCGTCCTCGCTTTCTTTTGTCATCTCTTCTCCCGCTTCTTTGCATTCTTCTTCGCTTTTTAAACCTCTCTGGGAAAAGCGACTTCTTTTATTTGTCGCGTCCCTCCAGGACGTGAACGATCATGGTTCTCCACGACTTCTTATAATCTCTCGCTCGTAACTATGTTTGTCTTTTTGCCATCCTCCCCACCAGTTATTATTCTGTAACGTGGTGCGCCGTGTAACAAAAATTTCTCTCAAGTCAAAATGAGACAAATCTTGTCCGTACAGCAATCCTGTGCGTGAAGATAAAACGTGAGACGAACACTTTGTGGTCTCTTCTTTCATAAAGCATGTTGGCAACGCCAGCTTGCGTTCGTTAGAACTAAAGAGACTGTTGATAACAGTTAGAAAGAGAAAATTGAAAGGGGAATATGAAGAAGAAGGAAAGCTTAGAGAATTTAACACACAAAACATGCGGATGGCAAGTGAAAGATAGGAAGTCAGTAAATAAGCAACCTGACAAGTTACTTTTATTTACTAAACAAAGGAAGGGAGGAACAAATACTACAAAAAAAGGAGGTATATTACGGTGAGTAACAAAGTGATGAAGCTGTGGAGAACCATGATCAGCTATGTCCAAAAGGAAGAGAACAAACAAATACACACACACACACATACACACACACACACACTCAAAAAGAGTGTGAGAGGGTAACAATGAAATTCCAGCACTTGCGTCAGGACACTCACACAGATATAGCGCGTGAGTTAGAACGCTTATAAAGAACAACCACCTGAGTTAGGAAACTCACACATTTTCACTATTAAAGCCAGGACACTTACATAATTGCACCACCTAAGTTAAGATGCACATACATTTCTAATACTTGAGTCAAGACACACAGAGTTTCACTATCTCAGCCAGAACACGCATACATTTCTAATACTTGTGTCAAGACACACAGGCTTTGTAACCATCCGAGCCAGAACACGCATACATATCTAATACTTGAGTCAGGACACACACACAAATTTTTCAACCATCTGAGCCAGAACAAGCATACATATCTAATACGTGAGTCAGGACACACACACACACACACACACACACTTTCCAGCCATCTGAGTCAGAACACGCATATATTTCTAATACTTGAGTCAGGACACACACACTTTTCAACCATTCGAGCCAGAACACGCATACATTTCTAATACTTGAGTCAGGACACACACACCCTTTTCAACAATCTGAGCCAGAACACGCATACATTTCTAATACTTGAGTCAGGACACACACACCCTTTTCAACAATCTGAGCCAGAACACGCATACATTTCTAATACTTGAGTCAGGACACACACACTTTTCAACCATTCGAGCCAGAACACGCATACATTTCTAATACTTGAGTCAGGACACACACACACACACTTTTCAACAATCTGATCCAGAACACGCATACATTTCTAATACTTGAGTCAGGACACACACACTTTTCAACCATTCGAGCCAGAACACGCATACATTTCTAATACTTGAGTCAGGACACACACACCCTTTTCAACAATCTGATCCAGAACACGCATACATTTCTAATACTTGAGTCAGAACACACACACACACACTTTTCAACAATCTGAGCCAGAAAACACATACATTTCTAATACTTGAGTCAGGACACACAAACACTTTTCAACCTAACCTATCTAATATTTGAGACATGACGCGCATCAATTCTGCCCCTTGAGTCAGAACGCTCACACAGTTCCACGACTGAAATCATGCACCTGTTAGGACCCTTGTACAATTCTACCATATGAGTTAGGACACTTATATAGTTCTCCTTCCTGAGTCAGTACACTCATTAAGTTTCATCTGCTGCGTGATGCCCGCTCTTACAATTCTGCCGCCTTCGTCAGGACGGATCAATTCAGGCACCTGAAAACCAAGGGGAGCATGCTGACCCGGACAATAACAAATCCTCGTCTTAAAAAATGAAGAACGAGTCACTTGTAAAATTGGCACCACTGAATAAAGTGTGAGGAAGTGCACTTGGAAAAGAGAGACAATTACCTGGCCGAACAGGTGGTGAAATCTTGCTAGTGATTAAGTTCGGAACTGAAGAGAAAGCGAGATAATCGATGGGAAACACGTAATATAAGACCCGCTCGCCAAGGTAACTCGGTCTTTCAGAATTGTAATTGCTAACGATCTCGATTGGAACTTGATCTGTCGGCAATAAAATTCTCAAGACAAATTGAAATCGTCTTCAGAAAACTTGTCATGAGAATTGTAGTAAAACGGTAGAGCCATCTTCAACAAATAAAGATTTTTTTGTTAATGTCACTGGCGAGAACTTGGAATTAACAGGAGATAACTGATAATTGACATCCATTAGACATGGCACGTGGAACTAGAACAGTCTACTGGCGAGAACTTAGAATTAACAGGAGATAACTGATAACTGACATCCATTAGACATGGCACGTGGAACTAGAACAGTCTACTGGCGAGAACTTAGAATTAACAGGAGATAACTGATAACTGACATCCATTAGACATGGCACGTGGAACTAGAACAGTCTACTGCAGTCAGCGTAATAAAGGGTTTAGTTCGACATTCCAAACACCTGAAGAAGGCCGGAGCGTACAACAACCGAAACGTTGTGATAAATATGGCAACAAAGATGAGGATGATAGTCCGAACAATGTAAATAGTGTACATAATAGCTCATAGTCTGTCTATATATCTGAGATGAGGTATTATATACAGTATTTACATTAGTCGGACTATTGCCCTCATCTTTGTCGACATATTTGTCACAACTTTTCGGCCGTTGTACGCTCCGGCCTTCTTCAGGTGGTTGGAATTTCGAACTGAACCCTTTATTTCGATCACTGGGGTAGACTGTTCTAGTTCCACGTGCCATGTTTGATGGATGTCAGTTATCATTTATCTCCTGCTAATTTTCCCTCTGAAAGTTCTCCACTGCCTTAACCGGGTATTGAACTCCATCAAACATGGAACGAAACCTTGTGACAAATATGGCGACAAATATGAGGGCAATAGTCCGACTAATATAAATACTGTATAATAGCTCATCTCAGAAATATAAACAGTCATTGACGAGTGTACAATGATTCGTCCTTGCTGGGATCACAATTAGTGTTGTCTTGTGCTTCTCGGGGTAAAAGAGGTAACCACTATTTAGTTGGGGGAGTATATTGTTGTAGGCGATGCGGCTAATGTAAGAGAGACTCTTTCACAAATACCATCGGTAAAGGTCTGAATTCATCCCTTCTCGCACGCCCCCCAGCTAGGGGTTCACTATCAGGGTAGAGTGGACACTCTGGGGATCACAACAAGCCCAGGAGAAAGGGAAAAAAACTCCGAATTCAAAACCAGCCTGAAGGAGGATGGACTTGCTCTCTAGACACACCACGGCCGATTTAGCTGAAGTACACGCGGTGACACTCGTGAGGTGACATAGTTTTACAGTGTAACGGTTATCAACGCGAAAAGTGGAGTCGGCGAGCCGGGTTCAAATTTCGGTCTAGTTTGTTGCGTTCGCTTTCACATTATTGCCTTTGGAGAACGTACGAATCCATTTCTTCTCTCGCCTAGATTTTAAATCTAAGGGTAGACTGATACCTCTAACCTTGAGAGGACAGAAAAGGAAAATACTCAAAGCGTAGGGAAGGCAACGGTAAAAACGGTAAAGTTTATTAAAAAATATTAAAGAAAAGAAACTATAAATGCTAATGGTGATATTAACTGTTTCCTTATAAGGAAACATTCGGCATTAATTGACCGTGCAGCAACTTCTACTGTCGGTTGAAATTTATAAAAATTTTCTCTTAAAATATTTTTTTCAGGAAAGTAGGTTCCTCAAGTCCGATAGCTGTTATCGCTCTTTCTAGTAGTGATAAGGGTTTCCTTCCTAACCTTTTGTTTGAAGTAGTGTGGAACGTGATATTCTTAATGATTCCCTTATTTTCTCTTCGTGTTACACGTACTATACGTTTTAGTTGTTGCTGCTCTTGAAAATCCTCAAGAGATATGGTTTATGTTATTTGGTTCAGTGCATTGTGATTCCGTAGCGCCAGTTCACAAGGTTCGAGGAAGGATTTGTTAGACATTTTCATGACGGTCGTCTTCGAGTATAGAATCCAGAGGTTGGCAGTGAATATTTCCGGAGACAGTAGGAAAGCGTAGTTTAGGTTCGCAGTGGATATCGCAGCAGAGCGTAGTTTTCTTTTCGCCTGACAAGTTGGCTCTGGTCCTTCCGGTAGGGATAACAAGGATGGCCGCCTTTATACACGATGGATACAGTGTCCTGCGGCTCCTGATTGGTTAATCTTCTATTGGTAGACTATAAAGGGAAATAAGTCATTTTGACTCGCTCACTAGTTTTATACATATATACACAAAAAAAACCGTAACAGGATTCTCTTCGCAAAGAGACACATGCTTCACTCGCTCAACACCAATTTTAACTATTGATCTTAGAAAGCGGTTGTATAACAGGGACGAAGCTATTTAAGAACATGGCTCAAGTTTTAATGTGACTGGTTTCAATTTGCGATGTTGGGCGAAACTGCCTCTAGCGTGGCCACAAAGGTTTATGTCCTCAAAGGCCAGAGTGTTAACAAAACTCTTTGAGGTTGTTCGATACCATGTACAAACCAGGATTTCAAACGTTGATTTTCCAATCTGAAAGCGGCCCCACTTCCAATTTGGAAAAAAAAAATGATGTAACACGCACTTTCTACCTCTTTCCTTATTTAAATAACAAACGAAATGGCTTATAAACGTTAATGCCTCTAAAACGAAACTGCTATCAGTTACCCACCAAAGAGAAACCCTCCCTTGCTTCATTTCAGGATGGCAGATGCCCAACTCCACGAGAGGGCCTCTCTCCGCCTGCTTGGTCTCACGCTGACCACTGACCTGATGTGGAACAGCTACATTGAATCTATAGCCTCATCTACAGCAAAGAAAGTGGGTTCTTTGTGTCGCGGCAGAAGGTTCTTCTCGCCGGAGTCCATCCTTCAAATTTACAAACCAACCATTCGTCCTTGCATGGAATACTGCTGCCATATATGGTCAGGTGCCCCCGATGTTCATCTTGAGGTCCTAGACAAAATCCAGATAAGTGTTGTGGTAGGATCCACCTAATTTGCATAGTGGAGTACCGACCATATAAATATGGTTGGTACCGGGAAGACGTAGGAGGAATCAAGAGATTCAATCCAGAGACTCTGCCCGATTGCGACTCAGTCAACACATTCTCCAGTAACGGTCTTCCCAGGAATATACAAAAGACTATATGTAAATATTGTGTACACTTTCTTGTTTCAATACATTTTGTTCTAAGTACATTTTGTGTTGCATTATTATTCCATGCATTAGTCAAGTTTCAACAATAAGGAGATGCAACGTGGTTGGTCCTGATCTGTCATCCCCTCTACAGTCACTTTCTCACAGACGTGCTGTGGCTTCCCTCTACTTTTTCTACAATTACTTTCATGGCAACTGCTCCGAAGACCTACTTTCACTGGTTCCCAAATTGCATGAATTTAAGCAAGCTACTGGGTTGGCATCTCGGTCCCACCCTTTCACTGTCGAAACGACTAAACTTAGCCATCTATTCTACTCCAGCAATACGTTTGTGTAAATTAAATTACTAATACTCCCAAGAAAATTAAATTTCCGTATTAAATGACCCATAAGTAATTGATATGCCGCTAAACAAACATCGTCGTAGTCATCGACGAACTTCATTAAGTCAATGTAGTAAAATTTCAGTACCGGCTTGATTTCGAAGTCCCCAGTATATAGCCGGCATTTTGCGTGGTCTGAATCCTAATTAGAAAATATGAAATATAGTTCCTACTCTTGCAATACACTGAAAGTTTAACTTCTCTAAATACATTTCCTTTGTTAATCATTCTCCTACCCATCTTAGTCTATTGATAGAAAAGGCAGTCTATGCACAGAGATACGTGCAGATGGATACAAAATTATTGATCCCAACGGGAAAATCACGAATCCATATCTTCTATCCCTCGCTCATCGATGTTTTAAATATCAGGGTCGATTGATGGATGTTTCCTTCTTAGCCTTTTGTTTGTAATAGTGTGGAATGTCAACCTATGGATTATGTCATTGTTTTCTTTTTTTAGTGATATTCACTTTAAATACTGTTGAATATCCTCAAGCAACATTGTTTATATTATCTGGCAGTTCTTTGTGGAGATTCTGTAGAGCCATTTCCCAAGGTTCGAAGAAAAATGGTCTTTGCCAAGACCGACAATCTTCGCTCACTGAAAGCCATTTTAACCATTAATTCTACAAATCCGTCGTATACAGCAGACAGTTTGGATATTTCTGAACAGGTTTTGAGACAGCCATGACATTCATATGGAAATTTCGATTTCTCCGGGAAATACATGAACCCGTTTTAGTCTTCGCTCGTTCAACGGTGGGGTAACTAGCAGGGTAGATTGGAATGTCTAACTCCGGATGGCAACCAGTCCAAGACACCGAAATTTCTGAATTCCAAAAAGTTATGTGCATGGGGATTTTTACCTTGCTATATTTCTCAAGAAGCATGACAATTCATAAAGAAAAGGAAAACGCTGAGAACCGTAATCACCTGAAGGAAAATGCCATTTTAAAACAATCGAACAGTAGCTTCATGTCTCTTTTATTAGTTTCTGGAAGACACTTTCCTTGTTCCATTGTTAGATGACTGCTCATTGGAGAAGCGTTTGAGTTGTACGCATTGACCCACTGAAGTACTGTCTTCTCTAGTACTATATGTATCCATGTTGGGCACCTCGACGTGGTGTAATGGTTAGAAAGCTTGTCTTCCTAGATCAATTACGACTGAGTAGTGAGTTCGATCCTCACTGGTTGCCCCATACATTCGGCCTTGTGCCACATCTAAGCTACGCTTGGAAAATCACTATTGGGCACCTCGAGGTGGTGGAATGGTTAGCAAGCTTGTCTCGCTAGAAAAATTACGACTGAGTAGTGAGTTCGATC